TTTTTTGAATTTGATAAATATATTTTCGTATCCATATTATTTCTTTTCAGGCTTAACGGGTTACTGATATATAATCTAATGAAATTTTCGTTTTAAGGTTTTGTAGAAAAATTATTTATAAGTTGTGCTTTATTACAATAATTCAACTGTGTATCTTAGATACATATTTACAACATGGCTTATTCACAAGTTAGAATTGTTTTTTGATATTAGATATTATTATTAAAGACCCATTATGCCTCAAAGTGCCCACACGGACGATATGCCGTTACAGCGAATTACGAAATAGCGGTTAAGTTTTCAATCGCTTGCTGGATAGCTCAATAGGGTATTTAATTTGGTCTAACAAGTATCACATTAGGTTTGAATCTAGGTCACAAGGTTACTCAGGTGTATCATTAGATTTTACAGATAAATGTGAGTTGATTTCAATGTTTATGAAGTCACATGTATGTGCTAAAGTGTTATGATGTAAATACAATACAATGCAATATTTTTCTTTAATTGAAATTTTTTTTTCAGTAAAAGTGTATTCTAGTGCTTCAATATGCATATTATTCTTTCTAATTGCTTCCAAGTACTGTCACTTCCACAATAAAACCCCATTGTAATCTTTTTTTTTTATTACGTACAAGTAATTTCATATTAGAGGGTAAAATTTCACTTTTGGACAAATGGTAGTAAAAAAAAGTAGCACCAGCACCTATGTTTTAGATTAAACTGCTTAACATTGCTTAATCCAGCATTCAAATACATTGGTTTTTGAGTACACTATTTGTTGTACATCAAAATCTCATCATCCAGGTTTTTTGATTTATAATTTTGCTAGATTTATTAAGGTTTAAAAATAATTTTTACATATAAAATTAAAACTAAAAGTTCTTAACTCTCATCGCTGAATAATTTAATTTGCTTTTATAATATTCCCTCGATGTTATTTTTTGAAAATTGAAAGAATAAAGTAATTAAGAATTGAATCCATGTAAAGAATAGAATAAATAGCAAGAGTACCAAGTCTTAGTCTTAGTTCTTTTTTAAAACAAGCTCTTTATCAATTCAAATTTCAGATTTTTCAGAGTAACAGATATGAAGAGAGACATTTGATGGGCGTAGAAATGTTCCTCATAATTAATTTAATACATGTTATATGTGTTATTTATATCATTCCAAGTATTTATAATATGATCTGTTCATGTGCCTGTTTATCTATAATCCATAAAGTGGGAAAATTGGAGTGGGGAGCTAACTTCTTGACTTTATTAAAGAATACCTTTTATAAGAATGGAAAAGGGAGACTGTCATTCACTAACTCTGCAAAAATTATTTGCAATTAAATAAAATTATTGCATGTATTTACTGCATAACACTTTGGCACATACATGTGACTTCATAAACATTGAAATCAACTCACATTTACCTGTAAAATCTAATAATACACCTGAGTAACCTTGTGACCTAGATTCAAACCTAATGTGATACTTGTTAGACCAAATTAAATACCCTATTGAGCTATCCAGCAAGCTATTGAAAACTTAAAGTAATATACGCCGTATGGATGCCGATTTGTATGTGAAACAAAATGATTAAATGATTTGAAACACATAAAGTGTAATGAAAAAATAATATTTCCACAAAATTTAACTATAAAACTCGTTGTAATAACAGAACAATAAAGCAATATCTGCAATCAAGAATTCAGTCTTTTCATGAATATTGATAAAGGAAGTGCGTAAACAGTAGGTCTAAATATAGACACGTATGTCCACGGGAAATTATAGACAACGAGGCACGTTGCATTTTGACAACGATTATTAATAAAAGGTTAATATGCGTCATAACAGAGTATAGATTTTTGATACTGATTACATTTAAAGATAAGTTATATTAATAGAAACACGCCATCCATGTCAAAAGTGAGTTGTATCTCAAAGGGCTTACCTCGTTTTCTTGACGCCGTGTTTGTTTATCAATCTAAAAGTAGCGACGGCGTCACGTGGTGGATTTACTTAAAAATAGACATTATTCTCCTTGCAGGATAATAAATAATTATAATTTGATAACTTTATAACAAATTTTATTTAAATGGTGTAATTTACAGCATTTTCGTAACTTTTATTGGTAAACAAAATATATAAATTTCCAGCCGTATTTTAAAATGGCGCACGTTATCCCTTACCAAACTGTTATGTTTGCTGCAGACCTGCAGCAAGTCTGCTGCAAGTTTGCAGCAAACAAAATTGTTCGCAGGAAGAAACTTTTCTTGTTCGCAGATGATTGCCGCTAGCTGCGATCTTGCGGCAAACATTGCAGCAATTGCTGTAAGCTTGCAGCAAATTCGCAGGAACTCAACATGTTTGCAGGAACATTGCAAGAAACATACACGCCAATCTGTTGTTCGCAGCAAGTTCGCAGGAAACATTTAACAAATTGAATGTTTGCAGGAAGTTCGCAAGAACAGTAAACAAGTCAAATCAGCCAATGAAATGCAGATTGTACGGGGGTCAACACAGAATTCGCCATTTTGAAATGTTTGAATTGAAGTGTAGATGTTTCAGTATTTTGTTAGGAATACTTCCCATTTTGAACATGTTGAATGATTACAAAAGCAAAATTCTGAATGTAGGTGTATATTGGCATACAAAACATCTAATTGGTAAGATCTGATTTTGTTTTATTTTGATAATGAAACAATTATCTCTTTAAAGCATGTTCAAGTAACATGTACTTGCTAGGTCAAATCTTAATCTATTTATGAATTTTAATCTTTATTTTAATATCACAATTGTATGTTTCTTTAAATGTATTAAAGGTTCCAAATCAACTATTATAAATGTTTATATGTTTTCAAATAAATTAGTATTAACCGTAAAATTTTATTGTTAAAGGAATGTGCGAAGTTTTTAATTTTCTGTACTTGTCAAAAAAATTATATTTTTTATTAAGAATAGAATGTGAACATTGTCAAGGAACATAAAGAGAGACTATCAACACTTCAGAAACTAGCTTGCATCATTTCATACACATGTGGTGGATTTTCTTTATAGTTAACTTCAACAGATTAAGGTCAGGACAAAGGCTTTCTGCGAACTTGCTGCTTGTACCCAGGAATGTGCCAAATACAATAATTATATTCCTTGCCGCAAGTTAGCAGCAATGTTTGCTGCAAGCTTGCAGCAATGTTTGCCGCAAGCTTGCAGCAATGTTTGCCGCAAGCTTGCAGCAATGATTGCCGCAAGCTTGCAGCAAGGTTGCCATATTTGGAAAATCCAGTGTTTGCTGCAGACTTGCAGCAAACCTCATTTGCATGGTAAAATGTTTGCTGCAAGCTTGCTGCATACTTGCCGCAAACTTGCTGCAAACCCAACGGCTTTGTATAGGCTGCCATGGTTTACTTAGCTTCATTGCAGCAAGCTTGCAGCAATGTCTGCAGCAAGTTTGCAGCAATGTTTGCTGCAGACTTGCAGCAAATGTTTGCAGGAAGGCAATATTTTTGGTAAGGGATAGCGTATATTACTTTAACCGCTATTTCGTAATTCGCTGTAAGTGCTTGCATTCCGCGTGAGAGATTAAAAAAGAAGATTTTCCAATAATAATATTTGAAGCAATAAGAATATTAAAGAATATTTCCACTTATAAGCATAGTGCCGTGAACCCTTTTTTGGGCCCCTCTAACTTTATCTAATTAACTCAAATGTTAATTATTTTACACCTACCTCATACTATGCTATACCCTAGGCTATTGATACGGTCTTCCGAGTACTACAGGACAGGTCAGAGTCCAATACCCTAGGCTATTGATACGGTCTACCGAGTACTACAAGACAGGTAAGAGATCAGTTCGCTAGGTTATTGATACAGCCTACCGAGTACTACAGGACAGGTAAGAGTCCAGTACCCTAGGCTATTGATAGGATCTTCCGAGTACTACAAGACAGGTAAGAGTCCAATAGCCTAGGCTATTTATACGGTCTACCGAGTACTACAAGACAGGTAAGAGTCCAATACCCTAAGCTATTGATACGGTCTTCCGAGTACTACAGGACAGGTAAGAGTCCAGTACCCTAGGCTATTGATATGGTCTACCAAGTACTACAGGACAGGTAGGAGATTAGTACCCTAGGCTATTGATACGGTCTACCAAGTACTACAAGACAGCTAAGATTCCAATACCCTTGGCTATTTATACGGTCTACCAAGTACTACAACACAGGTAAGAGTCCAGTACCCTAGGCTATTGATACGGTCTACCCAGTACTACAGGACAGGTAGGAGATCAGTACCCTAGCCTATTGATATAATCTACCGAGTTCTACAAGACAGGTAAGAGTCCAATACCCTAGGCTATTGATACGGTCTACCGAGTAATACAGGACAGGTAAGAATCCAGTACCCTAGGCGTTTGATACGGTCTTCCGAGTACTACAAGACAGGTAAGAGTCCAATACCCTAGGCTATTGATACGGTCTACTGAGTACTACAGGAGAGTTAAGAGATCAGTACCCTAGGCTATTGATACGGTCTACCGAGTACTACAGGACAGGTAGGAGATCAGTACCCTAAGCTATTGATACGGTCTACCGAGTACAACAAGACAGCTAAGAGTCCAATACCCTAGGCTAATGATACCATATACTGAGTACTACAGGAAAGGTAAGAGTCCAGTACCCTAGGCTATTGATACGGTCTACCGAGTACTACAGGACAGGTAAGTGACCAGAACCCTAGGCTATTGATACAGTCTACTGAGTACTACAGGACAGGTAAGTGACCAGTACGCTAGGCTATTGATACAGTCAACTGATTACTATATTACAGGTAATAGTCCAATACCCTAGGCTATTGATACAGTCTACCGAGTTCTACAGGACAGGTAAGAGTCCAATACCCTAGGCTATTGATACGGTATACCGATACTACATGATAGGTAGGAGATCAGTACCCTAGGCTATTGATATGGTCTACCGAGTACTACAGGACAGGTAAGTGACCAGAACCCTACGCTATTGTTGATATGGTCTACCGAGTACAACAGGACAGGTAGGAGATCAGTACCCTAGGCTATTGATATGGTCTACCGAGTACTACAAGACAGGTAAGAGTCCAATACCCTAGGCTATTGATACGGTCTACCGAGTACTACAGGACAGGTAAGTGACCAGAACCCTAGGCTATTGATACGGTCTACTTAGTACTACATTACAGGTCAGAGTCCAATACCCTAGGCTATTGATACGGTCTACCGAGTACAACAGGACAGGTAAGAGATCAGTTCCCAAGGCTATTGATATAGTCTACCGAGTACTACAAGACAGGTAAGAGTCCAATACCCTAGGCTATTGATAAGGTCTACCGAGTACTACAGGACAGGTAAGAGTCCAGTACCCTAGGCGATTGATACAGTCTACTGAGTACTACAAGACAGGTAAGAGTCTAATACCCTAGGCTAGTGATACCGTCTACTGAGTACTACATAACAGGTAAGAGTCCAGTACCCTAGGCTTTTGATATGGTCTACTGAGTACTACATGACAGGTAAGTCAGCAGAACCCTAGGCTATTGATATGGTCTACCGAGTACTACAGGACAGGTAAGTGACCAGAACCCTAGGATATTGATACGGTCTACTGAATACTACAGGACAGGTAGGCGATCAGTACCCTAGGCTATTGAAATGGTCTACTGAGTACTACAAGACAGGTAAGAATCCAATACCCTAGGCTATTGATACGGTCTACCGAGTACTACAGGACAGGTAGGAGATCTGTACCCTAGGCTATTGATGCGGTCTACCGAGTACTACAAGACAGGTAAGAGTCCAATACCCCAGGCTATTGATATGGTCTACCGAGTACTACAGGACAGGTAAGAGTCCAGTACCCTAGGCTATTGATACGGTCTACCGAGTACTACAGGACAGGTTGGAGATCAGTACCCTAGGCTATTTTGATACTTCCTACCGAGTACTACAAGACAGGTAAGTGACCAGAACCCTAGGCTATTGATACAGTCTACTGAGTACTACAGGACATGTAAGTGACCAGTACCCTAGGCTATTGATATGGTCTACCGAGTACTACAGGACAGGTAGGAGTCCAGTACCCTAGTCTATTGATACGGTCTACCGAGTACTACAGGACAGGTAAGATATCAGTTCCCTAGGCTATTTATACGGTCTACCAAGTACTACAGGACAGTTAAGTCACCAGTACCCTAGTCTATTGATACGGTCTACCGAGTACTACAGGACAGGTAAGTGACCAGTACCCTAGGCTATTGATACGGTCTACTGAGTACTATATTACAGGTCAGAGTCCAATACCCTAGGCTATTGATATGGTCTATCGAGTACTACAGGACAGGTAAGAGTCCAGCACCCTAGGCTATTGATGCGGTCTACCGAGTACTACAAGACAGGTAAGAGTCCAATACCCTAGGCTATTGATACGGTCTACCAAGTACTACAAGACAGGTAAGAGTCCAGTACCCTAGGCTATTGATACGGTCTACCGAGTACTACAGGACAGGTTGTAGATCAGTACCCTAGGCTATTGATACGGTCTACCGAGTACTACAACACAGGTAGGAGTCCAATACCCTAGCCTTTTGATACGGTCTACTGAGTACTACAGGACAGGTAAGAGTCCAGTACCCTAGGCTATTGATACGGTCTACCGAGTACTACATGACAGGTAAGCGACCAGAACCCTAGGCTATTGATACAGTCTACTGAGTACTACATTACAGGTCAGAGTCCAATACCCTAGGCTATTGATACGGTCTACCGAGTACTACAGGACAGGTAAGCGACCAGAACCCTAGGCTATTGATACAGTCTACTGAGTACTACATTACAGGTCAGAGTCCAGTACCCTAGGCTATTGATACGGTCTACCGAGTACTACAAGACAGGTTGTAGATCAGTACCCTAGGCTATTGATACGGTCTACCGAGTACTACAACACAGGTAGGAGTCCAATACCCTAGCCTTTTGATACGGTCTACCGAGTACTACAGGACAGGTAAGAGTCCAGTACCCTAGGCTATTGATACGGTCTACCGAGTACTACATGACAGGTAAGCGACCAGAACCCTAGGCTATTGATACAGTCTACTGAGTACTACATTACAGGTCAGAGTCCAATACCCTAGGCTATTGATACGGTCTACCGAGTACTACAGGACAGGTAAGCGACCAGAACCCTAGGCTATTGATACAGTCTACTGAGTACTACATTACAGGTCAGAGTCCAATACCCTAGGCTATTGATACGGTCTACCGAGTACTACAGGACAGGTAAGAGATCAGTTCCCTAGGCAATTGATATGGTCTACCGAGTACTACAGGACAGGTAAGAGTCAAATACCCTAGGCTATTGATACGGTCTACAATGTACTACAGGACAGGTAAGAGATCAGTACCCTAGGCTATTGATACGGTCTACCGAGTTCTACAGGACAGGTAGGAGATCAGTACCCTAGGCTATTGATATGGTCTACCGAGTACTACAAGACTACAGACATACTCTAAAAATTAAAATGCGCATTTGCATCACAGGTATATTATTTTTATAATGGCTTTTCCTTAATATTAGAATTGCTTTTGAACATTAAGTCTTCTTTTGTTAATTTCTGCAGAAATAAATATTTATTCCTTTTCCTTTAAAATAAAAATAATGACATTTTTTTAATCTCAGATATGTAATTTTTACATGGCTTTTTCCAAAACATTAACAGGAAAAATGCGGCAAATAGATAAGTGAATGAAGAGGCGATATACCGCTAGGTACTGGCTTTGCATTACATATCTATATTCAAATCTAAATTCTCGTAGTTATCTGATTACAAAATGAATTCCTATAAGAACACATAAAAAATTGCTTTCCCAAAAAATTAAATAAATAAGATAATAATAAATATAAATATATTTCGATAAAAAATATTACATGGCATAAATCTGTTTAAACACTATAAATATAAAAGTTTAAACTAATCTTATATTTATATTATTATTATTATTTTCATTTTCTATGAAAATATGAAATAGAATATGCACCTTAATGTTCCAGAGGCCTCAATAATGTCCTCTATTATTCATCCTTCATTTTATACATTCCTTTATATTCTGCTAGGTTTATATCAGCGGTTTAGATGTTACCGAGTACAATTACTTTTACTTTGCATATACACCTAGTTAAATCCGCTCCTTTTCTTAATCCTTAACAGGCCGTAACTCAGGTTTGTTTTGGTTTATTTTTAGAATAGGAGAGCCATGTAAACAAGAAGTTTACCAGCAAAGAAAAATACTTTTCTTCATACAATGTGTCACTATAACTGCGTACATGTATTTATAGATAATTGTTCCAACATTTCTTATCAGAATATTAATGGAGAGGTAGTTCTATGTCATTAAATTAATTATTTTTAGAAAATATATCTGTATAAACATAAAGCTATACGCTTTTAAAAAATAATGTTGGTAAAAGAACGCTGCATTCGTAATCGATCAAAAGAATCAAAGATTGCTGGCCTTACTATTATATTACTATTATATTATTGAATTTAAACAACCTCTTTATTTATTTTTATCTTCCCACGGGAAGAATATCAATTTTAAAGATGTAAAAAAAAATTCAGTGTAATTTATTAGAGTTGAGATATAGTGTTTTTTTTCTTTTCTTTAACACTTTTATGAGTAAAGGTTTAAGCTATGACAACACAAACTAATTGTTAATTAACATTGTATAATCAGATAACTCTAAATTCAATGAATATTTAGTGAGTTTCAAAGAAGATTGGAGAAGTTTCGTCCCTTTCTAATTTCTCCATGCCAGTAAGTGCTGCAAAAATTTAGAGGCATCAAGTTTAAAAACACCCCATGGCACTTAGTGGCAAACAAACAATGTATATGATGAATAATTTTTAATTGCTTTACTTATTTATCTCACAAATGCTTTCTAATTCTTCGAAATAAAAATATCTAATCATACTACCTGATAAAAGCTTGAACTTTTACATAACTTAATAGAAAAAGGCGATGTAACCAGCAAGTGTCAACAGTAACGATATGCCGCTAACAGCTCGAAGTCGGTTAAATATATATATATATATATATATATATATATATATATATATATATATATATGCTGATATATGCTGGTTATGAAGGCCCTGCATCTCAAAATTTAGAAGACAATAGATAAAATAACAATTCAGAGTATTTTTGAAAAGTATGCCAAATGACAAGATGAAGTGGACTATGTATAATGCTGGTATTTCTTATGAAAGTACACATGCTATTTTAAAAAGAACCCCTACCTCTCAAATGTCCAAAATATGCAGTATATCAGCATTAAAAACTTTTTTTGAAAAGAAGGTCAAAGGTCAAGTTGAAAGGTCACCAGGTTGGTAACCACAGTTTTACAAAAGTCATAGTGCCAATCAACATATGGCCAAAATATGAAATCAACACCTTTTGCAGTTCTCAAGATATAAGATATGATAGACAGACAAACACTATTGCTCTGCTCTGTAGGTGACACAAAAATGATATTGGTACATAAAAATCAAGTACAACTAAATGAAACCAAAAAAAAAAAAATCATATCATAATGGTAAATATATTGCAAGTTAAAAGAGTCTACATGTAATCTAGTCTTCCTCTGTCCAATTCAAGTCATCTTCCCAGCCCTCCATGTCCTGAAAGTAAGTAAAATAATGGACTTCAACTATAACATTTGAAAGAGAAAATACATATCGATATTTTCAAGTTGTAAAATTATATAAAACTATGTCTGTTTTTACAGGACAACTAAAGAAAAGAATTATGCTGAAAATTACTGTGGCCTGAATCTTGTTGAATTGTAATTATTTGAAGGTGATAATACCTCTGGTTGTGAGCAATCTTTTTGTTGGACTACAAGATAATTACAAATCTCAGTCCAAGCATTAAAATGTCATAGTCCAACGATTATTTAACTTTTGAGTCATATGAGCGTGACCTTACACGATTATAGTATAAATAAATATATGGTCCAAATTATAGGCTTTATAGTTATTTAGAAATGAATCTGCTAAAAATTTTAATTTAGTCAATCATCTGGAAATGTAGGTTATATGTACCCTGGTATTGGGAATCTTTTAATGCATCATCCATGTAAATTTTATCACCAAAGTGCTACAATAAATTTACTTGTGACTGGCTTTAACCTGTTTAATCATCCTGATAATGTATGTCAGATCCACAATCTGAGGCAATTCTGGTAGGATGCACCCTCAGATGCATCTTTATTGCAAGTTTGGTCACCTTAAAGCTTATATCTACTTAGCAATGGACCTGCTCAAAAATCTTTAATCTGGTCACTCATTTGGAAATGAAGGTCAAATCCAACTTGGTACTGAGCACCCTTTGATGCATCATCCATTCAAGTTTGGTCACCAAATTGCTTAAAGATACTTAGGAATAGACCTGCTCCAAAAGCTTTAACCTGTTCAGTCTTCCTGATAATGTATGATAGATCCAGTATCTGGAGTAATTCTCATGGGCTGCATTTCTAGATTCATCTTCATTGCAAGTTTTGCCACCATAGGGCTTTTAGTTACTAGTGAATGGACCTGCTCCAAAATATTTTTGTGAATGTGGTTAACTGAATCTGAAAAATGTAGGTCAGATCAAGCATCCAAATCAAGGCTGGTAGTGTGCATCTTGAGTTGCACCATCCATGCATGTTTGGTAACTTTAGTTCTTATATAGTTGAACTTTGGTATCTTGAACATCGATATCTTGAATACCATGGTTATGCCGAAGTTATTTTGGAGTCCCAATCCCTTATCCTTTAAGTGTTTTATCCTGGATATCTCAAATCCTCAGATATCTCAAAGTTTTATCTCAGTGCCATTGAGTTTCAGACAACATCGAGGTTTGACTGTAGTTACTTGGAAAATAACCTACCCCAAAAACTTTAAACTGGTCTCTCAATTTTTAGACATTTTTTAGGTTAAATCCAGCATCTGAAGCATGTCTACAGTATGCCTCCTTAGACGCACATTTCAAACAAAATTTGACACCTTAAGGCTCAAAATCACTTGCAAATGAATCTGCTCCAATTGCTTTAACCAGGTCTCTCATATGGCAAATATAGGTCAATTCCAGCATCTGTGCAAGATCTGGTAGTATTATATTGTATCCTCATATGCATCATCCGTGCTTGTTTGATGACCATAGGGCTTATAGATACTTGGGTAATGAGATAAAAAATGAACTTATCTAAGTTTTATGGCCTATAGGCCAGATCCAGCAAATTTATCAAGTCTTATAGTATGTATCAGAAGATGCACTTTGCCTGCAAGGGCTTAGAGTTACTTGGGAATGAACTTGCTCCAAAAACTTTAAACATAATGCCACACTCATACTGACACCAGGGCAACTGACCAACTAAGAATATCAGTTTAAAAATTGTTAATATTTCATCTATGAGGTAGGGGCTCCAAGGGTCAAAATTGGCCCCATCTCAGAAATAAATTATGCTTTCTGGTTATATGCTGTAGAAGTCAATTTTTCAAAAATAACATCAAATTGTTCGAGAAAGTCAATTTAAGGAGAAAATTGAAGCATAAACTAAAGGTGTTACTTAGTCAATAACGTTAAAAATAGCTTTATTACATAATATATGCACACAGTTACTTCCTTACTGGTCATTGAGTTAATCATACTCTTTAATATAAATAAAAACATTATTAGTGTTTATTTTTAAAGGTTGCTAAAAATTCCTTTGTTACAGTATTACCATGATAATCTAATGGTTGTCATAGAAATGACCTTTGTTCAGAAATATGTCTCTGACTGCATTAGTAACAAAAACAAGATGTGTTTGTGAAACACTGATGCCCCCGTATGGCAACTTATAGCAAAGGTTAAACTTTCTAAAATGCAAAACAAATATGTTGGTACCCAAAGTTAAGTCTTGTCTCAAGGAATATACCTGTGAAATATGAAAGCACTAGCAGCAACCATTGAATAGATATGGCAAAGGGTTAAAGTTTTTTTTCAAACGTATGTCAAACATCAAGGTCAAAATTAATGGTGCCCAAGGAAAGGTCTGTTATGGCCAAAGTTAAAGTTTTCCAAAAGAAGGTCAAACTCCAAGGTCAAGGTCAAAGTTGTTGGTATCCAAAGGAAGGTCTTATCACAAGGATTACACATGTGAAGTATGAAAGCCTTAGCAACAACTGTTCAAAAGTTATGGCCAAGGTTAAAGTTTTTCAAAAGTAGGTTAAACTCCTAGGCCAAGGGGGTGGGGGATATATTTCAAACAATTAATGCTCATGGAAGCTTATAAAATTGCTGTTCTACCAATACCTATTATAATACCATGTTTTATCCACCAACAAGGCAATAATGCCACAATATTGATGAGAAATACAATGCAACCTTTTTTTCAGAGAGGAAAGCAAGTTAATGAATAAAATTTTTAAAGTTTTTAATTAATGCACTTTGTTTACCTCTTTATTTTTTGTATGTACGAAGTATAAACCATGCTGTTAATCATTGTTTGGCTGTCACACGTGTGCATGTGTCATGCAAGGTAAAACAATAAGGTAAATTACCTAGAGTAGCAAAATGAGGGGTGATTTGGAATACCCTAAATGTCCTATATTTCAACTACCATGTCGTAAATTGATATCAATTTATTTCATTTGTCGATAAGTATATGAAAGCATGCTTTTTTAAACCTGTACGATGATATAACAGCACAAAATCATATCTAATGTTGATTCTATTGATTTTATAAATGATTATTGATAACTTGGAATGACATGAAAGCTTTGTATTCATTGGCGGATTTTTCATGCTCCGCAGGCTTGCACCAGTACGATACCTCAAATGTTGAGAGATACTTTAATAATGAACATTTTAAAGAAATTTCATTTTGATGCATGCATGCAGAGGTATTTTATTTGATTAATTTATTGCAAAAATTATGAGATGTTGGCGATTTTTGCCAAACTACATCTAGTTTACGTCATAAATATGATGTTATGAATACTCCTTTTCCGGAAGTTTGTCTATTTATGGAATACAATAATTGTAAACAGTCAAAAATAAGAGGAGTCCAGTTTTTGGACTAACTTTAAAAATTCCATATTTCTGGGGCTGATTTTGGCCCATGGAGCCCCTACCTCTTTGAAAAAGATTAATTTTTTTTATAACACATGTAGATCTACTTATGATGCTTGTTGCCCCTTGGGGAAAATCTGTAACAATTACGTAATTCAGGGTGATAAATTTATACCAGCTGACAGTTTTCATCCATGTTGTATGACAGAGGGTTTGTAGAGATTTTAGCAGCTGATGATGTTGAACTGTTATTTTTATGTTTCTTCATTATTTCCTCCGAAGACACTCCCTGCTTAATCACTGGAATCAGACCCATATCTGCAAAATAGTCTGTTTCTAGAGCAACTTGTACAGAGGGACCCAACTGTTTAATTTCAAATTCAGCACCAAGTGGTGTGTTTTCTTTCTCTGGCAGCTTTTTTTTTGAAGATTGTAATTTTAAAGCATTTTTTGCCAGCTTATCTAAACTGGTATGATTTTTGTTAGATCCATCTCTTCCAATAGGTTGTGATTGCTGGTTTCTATGACTTGTTTCTTTGTGTAAAACATAATCCTGTTTAGAAGATTCCTTAGAGAAGTTCCAATATTCCTTGTCTAACTTCTTTTCAGACTCAATTGATATAACTGGAGCTAGTTGAGATGGAGAGGTGTCCACCAAATTATTATCCCAGTCCGACCAATCATCTTCACTGTCATTACCCATCACATAAACATCAGGATCTACATGGTCATCATTCCAACTAAAAGAAATATTGTATCAGTTAGACTGGAAACATGGTTTCTACCTGCAATAATGTAGCCCAATCTGATTTCTTTTTTTGGAGGGGGGGGATATAAATGTACCATTACAGAGATCCTGTGGAATTGTAGCTCTCTCCTCAAATATCAGATAAAAAAATCTTTGAGGGCTGCATTATTGCAGCTAAGTGGTCTCTAATGAGATTATAGATCTACTGTTACAATACTAAAACAAAAAAGTTTAGCAACCTAATTATTTTTGACAGTAAAATAATTTAATGAATATTGAACACAAATATTGATCTTTGTTTAAAAATACGAAAGTTATATTTTCAGTTATATGATTTAATACTGCAAGTAAGAAGAGTGTGCAAAAATGAATTCTTTGGGAAAACATACTTTCCTATATAATTAATTTTTATAATCTATTGCACTTGAATCAAAGTGGGTTAAAAAAGTCCTTCCAAAAAATGCCTGCCAAACACTTCTTGGAAATCATAAAATCTGGCAAGAAATTTTCTGATTTGCTCTGACATCATGTGAATGTCCACGAAACAACTGTATACAGCTGGTTAGTTCTTTGGGGAAACTGGGTCAGGATCATCCACTAGAGAGGAGGCCAAAGAAACTAATCACTAGACAGAAAATTTTTATACACCTCACCTCAAGATTTGACATAATTTTGCTTGCTACCCAACTACACAGTACTGTTAAAGGCAACATTTTCTTAATGTTCAAACATCTTATTTTTTAGCATGAAACTCTACATGAAATATCTTTATGGCCTTTTGAAGAGTATGTCTATCGCTTTTCACATTGGTATTTATTGTCATCATGTGACCCTCTACAGTCACGTAGGCTCCAATTTTAAGTCAAAATATGAAATGTCAAATTTAACCAAAAAGTGCAAGGGCAAGACAAACAAAATTTTAACTGCACAATGTTTCATTGTGTCCCATGGTATCTATCCTATCTCAAAAGTGATGCTCATTCATGGAGGTGAAAATTTCCCTGCATTTAGCTATGAATGTACATAATAGGACGAAGGATAACCATGATTGTTCGTATGTACGAGGGGTGATCAAAAAGTTCGCGAACTATCTCTATATTTAAAAAACCACAATTCAGATCAGAATGAAATTTGGCACACATATAGTCATACACATGTTCTATAAATAGCAGATCTTAAATAATGTTTTGCTCTGTGTTTGTGACGTCACAATTAGAAAATGACGCCAGTATGTAGGTCACTTGTGACAAAAAATGGTTTTAACTCAGTCGTATTCGAGCAACGAGCGACTGTAAAGTTTAACTTATATCTCGGAAATTCCTTTGCAGTGGAATATGATAATTTGTACAAGGTTTGTGAAGACGAAAAACTTACCAGAAGTTCAATCATTAATTGGATTTAATGTTTTTGTGAAGGCAGGGAGATGGTTTAAAATGATGTTTGTTGTGTGCCCTGCGAAAGCAAGCTGGTAAAAAGATGTGTCCTTAGTTGAGCAATTTGTTTTGAAAGATCGCCAAGCTACAGTAAGAAAAATACTTGAATATCTGAGCAATAATACAAATATTAAATCCCTAAATATCATTTACTCTAGACTTTAAACATATGAGATATGATAAAAAGAAGGCGCCTATACTTTTTCCACATTGGATAAATGATGCTCCCGAGACCGAGAACTAGGGTTGTGATGGTCACGATGTTAAATCTCTTAGATTCTGTGAACAGACCGCTACAAAGCATGTCACGTGACCGCCTGGATCACGTGATTCGCGCATGGGCAGAACAATGGCAGATGTGCATTAAAATCAGAGAGGACTACTTTAAAAAATAATGAACACTGAAACCTCATTTTATTTCTTTTAAGGAAGTAATTCAACTAGTTCGCGAACTTTTTGATCACCCCTCGTATGTATGTATGCATGTTTGTTTGTATGATAACTACACTTTCAATTTTGTAGCATTACATAAATCATGGTTTTGTCCAAACTGGTGACCTTTTTGCATACAAGAGGAAATTAATGATTATACCTTTTGGACACTTTAACATCAAATGATGATATATTCTGTCCTTCCTCATTTTCTTCCGAAAGTTTCTTTTCTGGTATATTTACAGGTGGTAAATGACCTGCATTCATGCCTTGGATTTCTGTGAATGGACCCTTAAGATCTAAAGTAAATATGAAATCTCATGTAAAGCATTTAATGACATCAAATACAGTGTACATCAAACAAATTTTTAGCACATTAGCCCAGTTGGGCTAGCAATGGCAAAAGCTAGCCACAATCACCTTTACTAGCCCCCTTAAAAGTGAAAAATAAAATGACAGATTTGTATCACTCTTTAATCAACAAAATCATTATTTACTTTTAAAAATTAATTTTTTATTAACCCTCTGTTCTTTCATTTCTTGTCAGTTATTTGATCTTTTAATTGAACTGTTTTGTTTTAAATGTTGGTGCAGTCAGATGCACTATAAACATTTCATCATAATAGACAGACAGACAAATGGACAGAGAGATGGACAAAAAGACAACAGGTGATCAGACAAGCTATCTTGGACTTTCAGCTCAGGTGGGCTAAAAAGTAAATAGATGAGAGATGGATGATATTAAACAAAATTTGATAAGAAAAGCTCATTTGAGCCTTTGGCTCAGGTGAGCTAATAATCTTTTGGGTTGAGGAGTCAAATGTATTCCTCATTTGATAGCATATTGGTTGGTTCCTATATGTTCTTTTTTCATACCCATGCAGTATCTCATAAAATATCTGAGTAAGTGATATTTATAGGATTCAAAAGGGGGTGTTTGTGATACTACTCAAACTGTATTAAAAAATCCTTATTTCTTAAAATATATCTAGAGAGACAGGTAATGTCAAACTAGAAGAGTTCATTGCAATGTAACTCGTTCTTCCTTCATCATATGTAATATTGTATGCATGCAAGAAGAGATAAATGTGCTAGAGACACAAAAGTACTACCATTTAATTTTTTTAAAACAAACTTTGAAAATATTGCAGAAACCAGAAGTCTCTGATGAGACTGTAGCTCTACTGGTCTGTATGTATAACAAAAGAAAAGTTGCACTTGGATTTGAAACTTTGCAACAAGCAGCAATAAATAAAATTATGTATCTTAATGTAGTCTACTTGTGCGCCAAGTTATATTGAAATCAAACGAAAACTGTAGGTTTTCATTTGAGGAGTAGCGTTTTGAAAGTATTTCACAGAAATTTCTATTTTTAGTAACCATGGCAACATCATTCATGAAATCAAAAACCATGTGCCAAGTTATACAAGAGGAGCCTTGAATTGCTTTTCTGATAAACTGTACAACCTATCTTTTCTATTTGAAGCCTCTAAGAATCCTGTATATTTAGATAAAGTCTTGAAATTCCAAAGGTAGGTCATCATGACCTATATTTTAGATAAAACACTCTGAGAACCCAAGATGATTCTAAGCCAATTAGTACCTGAGAGTATGTCATGGTGACCTACTTACCACTTGTCATTCTCTGAGGGTCCAAGATACATCAACTAAGATTGATGATTTTACGTATATAAAGCCATAAAATTTCAAAAGTAGGTCATGTTGACCTACTTTTCAGTTGTTGTACTTGGAGGACCCAAGATGCAACAACTAACAAAGTTTGATGATTCTAAGCCAATTAATACCTAAAATATTTAATTATAACCATAAAATTTCAAAAGTAGGTCACAGTGATGAACTTTTCAGTTGACATACTTTGAAGACCCAAGGTGCATCAAATGACAAAGTTTGATGATTCTAAGCCAATCAGTACCTGAAAAAAATATTTAATCAGGTCACAGTGACCTACTTTTCAGTTGATGTACTCCAAGCACCCAAGATGCATCAACCAACAAAGTTTCATGACTCTAAGCAAATAAGTACCGAAAATATTTAAATACAGTTAAACTTCATTATCTCGAAGTTGACGGGACCGTTGATGAACTTTGAGACATCCAGGGGTTCGACATATCTCGAGCTATAATTCTTATGAACTTCAAATAAACTTAGTGTTTGAAATTCTGTATATGATTTCTTTAATACATGTATACATGTACATGTGTTTAGCATTAAAAGGATTTTTACATCCTGTTTATAATTCACAAAATGAAAACTTTGTATAATATGCACCGAAGTATAATCCTTCTACCAACCCAGCAAGTCAACTGCTAGCATCGTTTCCCATGTACACATGGTATACGTCTATGCATTGTAAATTTAAAACCGATCACTGTCAGAATAACGCAAACAAAATATACAATTTTTTTTTATTGGAAAAACATGTTCATACAAGTATAATTATTTGAAAGAAAATATTTTACCATAATAAAATCAAATGTAAATGAAGAAACACACACTTTTGTGTAACTACAGAACAACACTGAATCACAGGGCACTATAGCACAAGTTTTTACTGTGATACACGCTCACATGATGGTGTGTACTGATGATTGTAAATTCTCACATAGGAAAAATAAATTCTAATTGCATTAAATTACAGAATTTTGTTTCACTTTGAAGTTTATAATTTTCACTTTCCTATGCATACACTATGCAAGTGCGCATATTACACATAGCATTAAAAAGCGATTATCAAGAGGTTCCGGTCACGTGATGGTCTGTGCCTGACCAAAATTTTTTTAGCATCACTGCTTATCTTAAAAACTTTATTTCTTTGTGGTTTTAAGTGTGTCAAATGTTGTGTAAAGGAATCTGATGTTCAATCTGGTGAGTGTTACATAAGTTTTGGATTTTTTTAAATACGTATACAACCAAACTATTTGAATTTAAGACTTTCTTTGTTGTGTCACCCATAATTCACTCACAATGGCTGATAAAACGGGAGCTGGAAAAAAGACACCAGACAAAGAACAAAACCCCAAAAAAATAGTTCAGTTAGATTTGAAAGCAGCACCCATGTCCGTCAGAAAATCTATTGTATCTGAGAAGGCTGTGACGAAAAAACCTAGAACAAGTAGTGGAGATCACACCCCTAATCAGGATAACAGTAAATCAGAACAGCAAGACGAAATCGCTTGCGATCTTAGACAAATTCAAGGCAGCCTTTCAGAAATTAGAGACTCAATGGTTAAGAAATCAGATGTAAAACTTTTAGTCTCGGAAATTTTGTCAGAGTTGAAAAATGAACTGAAAGGTGAGATAAAAAAAGAAATAATCACAGAGATGAAGGGGGATTTTGAAAGAAATATTAAAAACTCAGTTAAGGAAGAATTTGAAGAAAAATATAGAAAACATACAAAGAATTTGAAACACAAACAAAAGAGATCTCTGATGGGTTTAACCTCGATTTCAACACCCTTCGAGAAAAACTCAGTGTCCAAGCGAGTGAAATTAGATCTTTAAAGGAATGACTAAGAAAATGTGAATCTATAGCAGGGTCAGCTATCACCCTCGCAAATCAAACTCAACAATATTCACAGAAAAGTAATATTAAATTTACAAACTGGGCAGAGGAGAAAAATGAAAATTTTAGACAAAAACTATGCACAACGCTAAAAGAAGTGGTGGATGTTGACCTTGACCCCGCCGTTATCCTGGCCATTCATCATATCCCGGGGGGAAACAGAAAAGGACCACACCCTGTCATTGCAAATTCTGCAACAATGACATCGAAGTCCATGTTATTAAAAACAGATCTGAGAAAAATTTAAAAGACATCTTTACTATGCATGACCACAAATGAACACTAAACTAGTTCGCGATTTGAACAATGATCCGAGAATTCACAGTGCTTGGTATTATAATGGAAAAGTGTTTGCTCTGGACAGAGAAGGAAATCGCCACAAATTCGATATTTTGGACAATGTGTCTGAAAAACTGAAAGGATACTGAATATAATTGTTCAAATGTGCAGCGGAGCGGACCTTGTTTTGACACCATTTGACTGTGGGATCGGGCTCATTTGACTGTGAGATCGGGCTCACTATACTATAAATTAAATCATGTTTACTGTTTGTGTAAGTGTGTCAGTGAGTGTTTGTATTTCCCCTATTTTTCTATTACCAATATGTGTTCTGATTATCTGAAAAGATGGTGCCTATCACTTTTTATGATTTCTATTATATTGATTTTTTTCTAAATTGCTACAAACTAAATAAGTGGCTCAATTAAAATAGCAACGGTGAATTGTCAAGGTTTGGCAACAGGTACAAAAAGGCAGGATGTTTTAAATTATTATAAGAAAAAGGGTTATTCAATTCTTTGTTTTCAGGACACTCACTTTACAAAAGAAATAGAACCTTACGTTGAAACACAATGGGGATATAAATGTATTTTCAATTCGTACAAGTCAAACTCAAGAGGCGTATTCATTCTGTTTAATAACAATTTTGAATTTCAGATTCACAGGGAGAAACAGGACGTTAATTGTAATCTATTAGCTCTCGATATGACAATCGAGGATAATAAAGTTACTTTAATTCATATCTATGGACCAAACACAGATAATCCAGAGTTTTATGAGTTAGTAAGAGAAACTTTATATGAGTTTGAAAATGATTATCTTAAATTATGCGGTGATTTTAATCTGGCTCTTGACCCATTAATAGATACAGAAAATTATTGTAACATTTACAATCCAAAGGGGAGAGAAAAACTTTTAGAAATTATGAATGATTTACAAATAGTTGACTATTTCAGGATTTTGAAATTTTCCAAACTTACCAATGTTTACTTGGCGAAAGAAAAATCCAGTGAAACAAGGATGTTTAGATTATATTTTAATTTCTGTAAATATGTGTAATTTGGTTGAAAACTTAGCAATTAAACCAGGGTACAGATCAGACCACTCATCAGTGGTTCTTGATATAAAATTTTAATACCTTTAAGAAAGGAAAAAGTCTCTGGAAGTTTAACAACTCTTTACTTACAGACAAAACATATGTTAGCAAGGTGAAAGAATATAAAGTCTGTTAGAAAACAATATGAAAAGAATAATGTGCTTATAGATGATATGGATAACAGTAAATTTCTTGAAGTCCTCTTAATGGAGATCAAAGGAATTACAATCTCATATTTGTCATATAGAAAGAAAGAAAAAAAATAAAGAAGAAGCCTTGTAATTTGCACAAATAGAGAAATTAGAGGCAGAGAATATATTGAATCTACAGTTAATAGAAGA